AGGGCCCAGCGGGCCGGTCCAGGCCGTCAGTGGGAGCGGGCCCTGACCCCAGGACCTCACAGCCGTGCAGCATCACAGCTGAGCTGTTTGTGCTCAAGAGTTTCCTTCTTCACCCCGCGACTCGCATGAGTGGCTCTTGCTGGTGTTCAATCAGCACCAACGGTCCCACAACAAATTGTTGCCAGTGGCGGCCTCTGGTGAGTGGGTTTGGATGAGAGACCCGCTGTATTTTTCATCTCTGAAAAACACTTACAATCCTGTCACTTGAAAGACACACCTTAGATTGCCAACCCTAACGAGAATCTAAGCCCCCAGGTCTTCGGCCATCTAAACGGGGAAGTGAGCCCCAAATCCGGGCCTGCCTCAGGCGCAGGAGTCCTGTCCCCAGCCCCGCCTCTCTCAGACGGGAGTTTAGGCCCCCTAACTCCCGTCTCCCCAAGAACCGGAGTCCAATCTTCTTGGCCCAATCGGCCGCCGCTGCGACCGCTGTGGCGCCAGCAACTCGAGTTCCTTCTCTTTTGGCTCCGCCCCCACTCGGGGTCCTTCCCCCTGCACGGCCCGCCTTCGGGGCTGTCCACAGAATTGCCTGATGCGCACGACAGCACCATTGCGACGGGGCCACCCTCTCACCCCGCGAGCTCAGCCTCTAACTGTCAGGGGCCTTTCCTGGAACTGCCCCTTGTCAATCTCAGCTCTGGCCCCGCCTCCCGCTCGGCCGCGGGGACCTCCTCCGGGCCGGCCCCGCCCCTTCGGCCGCCGTTCCGACCGCTGTGGCGCCAGCAACTCGAGTTTCTTCCCTTTTGGCCCCGCCCCCACTCGGGGTCCTTCCTCCTGCACGGCCCGCCTTCGGAGCTGTCCACAGAATTGCCTGATGCGCACGACAGCACAACAGGCCCTATATTTCCTTGCTCCTCCCTCTTCCTCTTCCTCTGCCTCCTAGGACAATGTCTCGTCGCCTGTTGTGGAAGATTCTAATGGGACCAGGCATCGTTCCCTCCCCTAAGCACCAAAGCGGGGAGTTCCCGGCACCGGCGCGCGTGCTAGATGCTTCGGGGCGGAGCCCGGACTGGCAGGGGGCGGGCCTTGAGAGCGGCGCGCGCTATAAGAAGGGCCGCACGCCAGGCCCGCGCGTCCTGGCGAGCGTGGGGCTTCGGTGAGCGTCCTCTGGCGTTCGACATCTTTGCGCCTGTGCGACGTGGCTTGCAGGTCTGGGCCACGCGCGCGCGAGTGCGCGCGACGAGGATCTCGCGGGTGCGGCGGGGCGCACGTTGTCGCGTGGATGGGGTCACGGCCTCTGGAAAGGCCCGGCGCGCGCCCTGAGGCGGGGCTGGGGTGGCGGCCGCAGAGGGCGGCGGCTCTTTGCGGGGCGCTCCGGGTCGTGGGACCCCCGCCACCGGGGCCAGCGGGGCCAGCCCGGCCAGCCCGGCCAGCCCTTCCTCGCCGGCACCGCGCCGCGGGCCTCCGCCATCTTGCCCACCTTTCCGGGCGGGCGGAGGGCAGAGCTCGCCTGAGGTGTCCCACGTGATGCGGGCCGGCCACACGTGCGTCTCTCCGGACACCAATCTGGTTCCGATTCCAGGCGGCTGGCGGTTTTGGTCACCCAGGAGAAAGACGGGGGGAGGTAGCGCCAGGATGTCAGGGGGTCGCCAAGAAAGTGGGGTCTCTAAGTGAATTACCGAGTCGGGTCCGAGAGGCTGGTGGAGTTGCCGTTGGAGAAAGCGGACGCGGCCTCCCTCTGTTCACCTTGAGGACCCGTTTCACGGGCGCGCTGGCTTTGCCGCGTTGCCGTGTCACACGTGGAAGGATCTTTCTCATCCTTTCATGATTGGCACGCCCTCTTTTGCCATTGTCCCGTGTGTTCCTTTTCCATGTGCTTCTTTTACTTATTACTGAAATCCTCAAACATACAGGAAATAAGCGTAAGCAATGTTTATTACTTAATGACAATGCCATTGTTAACCCGTAATGTTTCCCAGTCTTTAACTTCTGTTCGCTTGACCTCTGTCCCTGAAGGCGAGTGGCATTTGGACCTGGTGGCAGAGGGACTGGGGCTCCTGTGATGGCCAGCACTGGGCTCTGATCAACCCTGAGGATTCAGTGCCCTCCAAGACCTTTGACACTTGGGGGTCTGAGGGGCCCTGGGTTTGATGTTCTCTGGACCCCCAGACTGTTCCTCTGCCCATCCTCACCAAGTCCTCCCTGTGTTCCAGGTGTGTCTTCAAGCTGAGGGGCCACCCACACCACCCATCTTGGTAAGAATCCTCATCCTCCCTGACCCACCACCCAGGTCTAAAATCTCTTACCCATATTTTAGGTTACTTCACATCAACTATTCCTGGGACCTAATTTATATGCCAATAGTCTTGCTGCGGATTTTCATACAGATCCCAGCTCTGCATGAGCTCGGAGGTGTCAGTCAAGTGATTGCACCCCGGAGCCTCGGTTTGTGTGTCTGTAGAGCTGGCACAATACGCCAGGAGCAGAGTCCGAGTCCTCTGCACAGTTTGGGGGTGAGGGGCTGATGTTTCCTGCCTTCAGAGGGAAGGGGTCAATAAAGCAGAAAACAGACTAGGAAAGAAAGTGTATTTTGTTGTCGTGGGACAGGACTAATCAAGAGTCTGATTTTCAAACTCAGAAGAAAAGAAACAGTGGCTGGCAATGTTATCACTGTCACGCTGTGGGTTTCGTAGACTGGATACAATGTATCCTCCAGCAAAGCTGAGACAGTTTCCCATGAATTATGTGCAAATAAACTGATAGTGATTAAAGCTGCCCTTTGTTGACACTGTAGCCATTGTTACAATGACACAGTGTATCTGCAGGACACCTCGCCAGTGTTTCAAAGACCCAAATCAGAAGATGGGCCCGGAGGCGTGTTACGGGGAAAAAAAAGCAAGCGTTAGCACTAGGACGAGTCTCTCTGCTCCCTGGATGACGCGTGACGACAGCGGCCGCTATGGCGAAGTAGGGTGCAAAGGGGGTTCTCGCGGCTTCCCGCTCTTGCCCACAAGCTCAGTAGGGGAGAAGCAGCTTTCTGTGACAGCCGTGCTCGGGTTTGAGATCATCCGAGCCTTTCGCAGGGGTCGGTGCTCTTTGCCCAAGGTGTCCCGCGGGGCCCTGCGTGTTCACTGCCATCTGAGGGGGTTTCTGGGAAAGGGCAAGAGGAGGGAGGACCAACCAGGTCAGTGCAGGCGAGGGAAGACACAAGGCCACGGACAGTCTCCTGGATGGCGAGGCCGCCCGGTCCAGTGGCTGCCGGCTAGGTGCAGCTCTCAGGTGCCTGAGATGCGGCTAGTGCAACTGGGAACTGGATTTGTACATTTTATTTAAATCTAAATAGTTCAATTGAAGCGTTTGTGCTAGCTAAACGGTAGGGAGCACTTTGCCAGTCTAAGTACTTTCGAGGATTAACACGTCAGATCCTCCCCGGTCCCGATGACAGGCATATATAGCCTGAACCTGGTTCACGGAAGGTTCTGGTGCCGCCGCTTCCCCACGTGACGGAACAGGACTCGCACCGAGGCAGTTGCGTGGGAAAGCGGGCCTGAGGCGCGGGCAGAGCAGGTGTGGGATGTTGGGGCGGGGGCAGGGGACGTACCTCAGAGCTGAGCTGAAACAGGGAGCCCCTTAATCTCACGGGGTGCTGCTCACAGCAACAGCCTGTCTGCCTGGCGAATATTCCCATTTTCAGGGGCGGGGGCTTAGGGTTTAGGTCAGTTGCTGCAGGTCGTAAGAGTGACACAGCAGGGACGGGCCACTGAGGGGCGGTCTTGGGGAGCTGGGGGAAGCGGTCTGGTGTCAGAAGGCAGGCGATGGGGGCTTGCCTCCTAGCACCCCGGGGACCCAGCATTGGTTGTTTTTCCTTCCTGGATCTTTGAGCTATTACCTACGTCATCCCTCTCAGGACTGGCTCTGGGACAAGTGGCTCTGGGACCCGAGGCGGGGTGGGATGAGGCCACCAGGGCCCCCATGATGTCCAGCACTGGGCTCTGATCTCCCCTGAGGACACCGTGCCTCCCGGGACCTTTGACACCCGGGGGTCTGAGGGGCCCTGGCTCTGGAGAGAGGTGGGTGAGGGGCCATGGTTGCCCCGCATCCACTGACCTTCCCTTCCCCCGCTCCTTCCTGTCTGCAGGTGGTTCTTCCTGGCACCAACAGCCCTGCCGTCCCTGTCCCTCCGTGAGAGCGGAAGCAACACCCTCATTTGTACTCAACGGAATGTGTGGCCTGCGTCGCACTGTGAAGGCCAATGCTGTGCGCTCCGGCTGAGCCAGGTACATTCCCAGCGTAAGATTCCTTTGATTTTCAGTGAACTTGTGGATGGAGGACGAGAGGGGGCGGTTCTTGGGGGGCTGGGGTTTGCAGCAAGACATCCTGTGTCAGGAGTTGTGAAGGGCTGTGCTCGAGGCCTCCATGATGTCAGCACTGGGCTCCGACCTCCCATGAGGACACGGTGCGCCCCGGGACCTTTGACACCCAGGGGTCTGAGGGGCCTCGGCTCTGGGGAGGAGCTGGGGATGTACGGCTGTCCCCCCGCCTGATGCTTCTGCGGTTTTGCCAGCAGCTCCTGTGGCAGCGCCCCTCAGGTGGCCGTGACCATGGCGGACAAAGCGCAGGCGCCCACCCAGGCGGGGCCGGGCGACCGCTCCTACACGTACACCGAGCTCCTGGCCATCTCGCGGCGCTTCAGGCAGAACGCCAACGAGCTCATGGTCTCCTGGATCCTGCGGGTGTATGACCAGGGCGGGGCGGCCCTGGCCCTGAATTCGCGGGAGCTGGCGCTGCTGGGCGACCTGACCGGCGACGCCGTCTTCAACTACCACTGCAGGGGCCTGCGGGGCGGCTGCCAGGCGCTGCTCACCTGGCTGCTGCTGGCCTGGCGCCAGCGCTGGGAGTCCTTCGTGCACTGTGAGGCCACCGAGCTGCCCTTCCGGCCCTGGACCACCATGGAGGAGGGCATCCAGCTGGTGCGGGAGCTGGGCATCCTCAAGTGGATCTACGGCGAGTCACACTCGCCCCCCACCCCGGGCCAGGAGCCCCGGCGCCCACCGGAGGACATGCCCTTCACACAGGGCCTGCAGCGGCGCCTGCTGACGGCCGCGCCCTCCGAGCTGTGGTTGTCGCTGGTCAGCCTGCTGGTCAAGGACATGACGGTGCTGCAGGCCGTGATGGAGATCCAGACCATCGCCAGCATCGGCCTGCTCTGGCGCCACAACCAGCCTGGGCGCGTCAAGCTCACGCTGGGGCCCAACCCCACGCGCAAGGACCTGCTGGACTGGCTCCTGCGCCACGGCGTGCCCCGGGAGCGGGTGGACCGGCAGCCCACCAAGGTCCTCCTGGACTTGTACATCAGGGAGGCCAAGCGCGGCCGCAGCCAGCCGGCCCACGCGCCGGCCGAGCAGCCCCCGCCACCCCCCTACTCCGACCAGGCCTGCGGACAGAAGCCACCGGTGCACCGCGACTAGGGGCCCGGAGGGAGCCCGGCTTCCAGGGCAGCCGCCAGCAGGGAGCTGGACCTTGGAGATGCAAAGCCTTAGTCAGCGTCCCGAGGGTCCCCAGCAGGACTGAGGGACCGCCCGCCTGTTTTTGAGCCTCTGCTGGGCATGCCACCCACCCCCACAGCATGTTTGAGGAGCTCAGAAGACTGAGGTGTCCTCGGCCTGAGCTAGTGGCAGGGAGCAAGCTGGCTGGGGCACGGTGGCTCTTAGCGATCCCAGGGCATGGCCTTGTACCTCGTTCAGTCTTACATTCCAGCCCGGGGTGCATGGTGGGTGGCCTCCCACCCTCTGCCCCATGGGCCGCACAGCACCACAGGCCAAGGGGGGAACCCCGTGGCCCGCCACACGAAGGCGTCTGGCATTTGTGCCCTTTTTCTTGATGTTGTTTTTAAACGTTATTTTTACTTAACACTAAACACGAACAGCACTTTGGTTTTAGGGGCGTGCGCTCTTTCCTTACGGCTTGGCGGTGCCCCCCTCTCTCTCTCTCAAAGCAGACTTCTGCTGTTCGCTGCCTGGGTGAGCGGTGGCCGACCCCATCTGGTTTCTGTAGCTGCTCATGTGACTTCCCACTAGTGTCTGTCACGTCTTGGTAAAGGGCATTGGAGCCAAGAGTCACAGCCTTGTGAGGACAGGCAGCCCTAGCAGTCAGTGCTGGGCACACAGGTGCCCGTCAGATGGCGCACGCGTCACCATGCGGACTGTGACTGTTTGGTGCAGTCCCCGTGCAGAGCCAAATCCAGGGCCCCGCCAGGGAGCAGGGCACAGCAGGGCGGGGGAGCCTGCGAGAACTTGGCCAGGTGTCCCCTGGGTCTGTAAGCGAGAAGCTGGGCCTCCTCCCAGGACCGAGGCGTGCAGAGGGCCTTCTGGGGCCTGGCTGTCACCCACGCGAGGCCTGTG